GGCCTCCTCTGGACTTGCTCCAACAGCTCCTAGTGGGACCTGCCCACTAGTTTGCTGATGAATGATGGTGAGTGGCTTAGTAAGCTCCTCTGCCACTTCCTTCAGCACTCTTAGACTTGTGTATGTCTAAGTGGAGCAGGAGGTCACTAACCATTTCTTCCTGGATTATGGGGACTTCAGACAGCTCTCCATCTCTTGTCATCCAACTCAGGGGACTGAATACTCTGAGCATGGCTGGTTTGACTGTTTCTCCTTAGATCAGAAGGTGTTGGGATTTAGGGATCTGTAGTGGATGCTGTGTAACGAAAACCAGTCTTTCTGTCTCAGCAGCTAGAACTGAGCAATGTCAGAATGCATAAGATCTGTTTCTTTCTACAGGCCCAGACAGTCAGTACACAAAAACAGCCCAGGAGATTGTAAACATCTGTTACCAGACTTTAGCTGAGGTATGTGGACTGCTTGTTCTACTGCAAAAATTTTGTATGTTTGGATTTTTTGTTCTGCAACTTTAGCAAGCTTCTTTCTCTTTAGTATGATGAGCACCTGACCCAACTTGAGAGAGACATCTCTACTGCTAAGGAAGCAGCACTAGAGGAGGCAGATCTGGAAAGCCTTGATCCTATGACCCCTGGTCCCTACACTCCACAGGCAAGTGACCATGCAAAGTTTTCACTTTCTTTTAGTTTCAGTCTCCTGGATGTTTGATCCAGAGGTGCCTCTTTGTTTACTGTTCTCCATCTGTCTGCAGTTTGCTTTTACTGGAGTGTCTTGTTGAATAGTGTGTTAACAGCTATTTTTAAGGATAAATATGAGAAATGGTTATGATGCTTTAGGGAGTGAGATATCTAAGACAAAAAAGGAAATTTCCCAAGCAACTTGCAAAACTGGTCTAGGATGAGCTGTGTACAGTCAGGCACAACCGAGTGCTGGTTGGAAACTCAATGTGCAAGTGTAGCAGTTCGAAACCCTCAGAAGACAAGCAGTGGAAAGGTAAGGAGAACATGAGGAAAAGTCATCAATACTGTAGTTCTGAGAAGAAGCCAAAGAAGCTATTTGGTGGGAGTATGGTTTAAGAGGCTTATTGCGAGGAGCAAAGAAACTGCTTAATGTGGTCAGTGCAGTATGACTCCTCTACATTCTTTGGTGGGATGGAAATAAAATTTTTTTACTCTTCATTATTACTATATAGGAGACAGTTGTGTGTATTAGTTATTTTGTATGTGTTCTAGACCAAGTTGGAAGCATTATTTTTATACTTGAGATTGTATGACAGACTGCTTTTTCAGCGTTTACAGTTTGACAAGATTTTATAAGCTATTTAGACTTCTTTATTTTGTTGCTTGGCTCAGGTTGTTTTTAAAAACATGAGTAAAAAACTTACAGGAATGACAAGTTCATTCCTGAAAAATAAAATTGCCTTTGGAATTTGTCCAGTAAATAATGATTCAGGGAACGTCATCCTAGTGTCTGAGGTACAGAATCACCGAATGGTTTGTGTTGGAAGGGACCTTAAAGCTCATCCAGTTCTAAACCCCTGCCATGGGCAGGGACACCTTCCACTAGAACAGGTTGCTCGAAGCCCCTGCATTCAACCTGGCTTTGAACACTGCCAGGGATGGAGCATTTACCAGTTCTTTGGGCAACCTGTACCAGTGGCTTACCACCCTCACAGTAAAGAACTTGTTCCTTATATCTAAACTAAACTTCCGCTGTTTTAGTTTAAACCCATCAACTCTTGTCCTGTTGCTACAGTCCCTGATAAAAGAGTCCCTCTCCAGCATCTCTGTAGGCCCCCTTCAGATATTGGAAGGCTGCCTTGAAGTCTCCAAACAGCTTCTCTTCTCCAGGCTGGTTTCTGGGCTCAAGCACACACTGAAGCCAGCTCATGTTCAGTTTCTCATCAGCCAACATCTGCAAGTCCTTCTCCTCAGGGCTGCTCTGAATCTCTTCTCCACCCAGCCTGTAGCTGTGCCTGGGGTTGCCCCGACCCCAGTGTAGGACCTTGAACTCTGCATTGTTGAACTTTATGAGGTTGGCACTGGGCACCTCACAAGCGTGTCCAGGTCCCTCTTGATCCCGTCCCTTCCCTCCAGCGTATCAACCGAGCCACACAGCTTGGTGTCGTCGGCAAACTTGCTGAGGGTGCATCAATCCCACTGTCCATGTTGTGGACATGGACACGAACAGGATCAGTCCCAACGCTTGACCCCTGAGGAACACTACTTGTTACCCATCTCCAGCTGGACACTGAGCTGTTGACCGCAACTCTCTGTGTTTGGCCATCCGGCCAGTTCTTTAGCCACCAGGTGTCCATCCATCAAAGAGCAGAATACAAACAATTTCTGGGCAATATTTAACACAATCCATCTCTCCTCACAAAAAAAAAAAACACAACCAAAAAACCCAAAAAAAGCCAAAATGTAGCATTTTAGGAAGTTAGAAAGGACTTGCTAGGAATGATGATTGAATTCAATGGGATGGGAATACTGAAACTGAGTATCATGGAAAAAGACCTTCCTGGCAATGGGAAGTGTCAGGCTGCAAGGGAGTCTTTGGAGATTCGCTGTTGAAACTATCTATTGACACATTTCAAGGAAAATTTCATGGAATCAGGGATGATCCCAATACCTCAGAGAATGGGGGACAAAAATGTCACTCTTCTTTCTATCTGGTGGTTTCTTTCCCAAGAGCAGTGTTACCTGTTACCATTTTTTTCCAAGTTGGTTATCGGGAGAGAGGAAAAGAGGCCCGAGCAATGAACTGCCTATTAGTTGTCTGCTCCTTCTGTGTGCTTGCTAAAGGAGAGACCTTCCTGAACTTTCACTTGTCATCTGAAGGCCACTCATCTTGGCTGGAGATACACTCTCATTTCTCACACTCTCAGACTTGTCACAGATGGCAGGTCTGGTGATGGTCGCTTGGCTTTAGTTCCATTTATTTAAGTTGCAGTTGTGATGACTAATACTTACCTGTATGTGTCTTCAAGAGTTGGCCTCCAGGATATAAAAAGCAAATACAGCAAGTAGAGAGCTGTCTGTGATTATGTGTCTGTTTAAATTCTTAGGAAGCCTGTTTTACCTAATTTAAGCATTACTGCTTCTGCTTTTAACACTTTCAGGATTGTCATGATATAAACACTGTGTATTATGAGGGCATTTTATCAAAGTTTCCTAATCTGTAGTTCCTCAGGAATTCTTCAGAGGTCAAAGGGTGTGCAAACTCCAGACTGACTTTTAGAACACTTTATCCAAACTCCTCCCCCCCCCCCCTTTTTTTTTGGTTTGTTTTGTTACTTTAGGGACTCTTGAGACAGTGATTTACATAGAATTGATTGAAAGTTGAATCTTTACTATTTCATATGTGGTAGACCTTTTCCAGTTCTGATAGCAGCATTTATGGTCACAACACCATTTCCATTGTAGGAAAGGAAATTGAAAGGGCCATGCTGAGTCACCCCAAAGGTTGATGTAATTAAGTATTCTGTGTCTGGCAGGAACCAGAAGTAAGCAGATGCAAACATACAGTAATTCTTCTTAGAGTGAAGCCTCTCTGCTTCTGGCAATTGGCTGTTCAGGCACCTTAAACCGGTGTTGTGTCTGGACCATTTTATTTATGAGCTGCAGAAAGAACTGTTCTCTATAAATCTATCTAATCCTTTTGGCGTCCATTTAGGATTTTGGCCTCTGTAGGATTGCACTGCATAGAAGCATTGACTTCTACTTTAAAAGCTGCTATTTGGAAACATCAAACCTGAGGTTATGAGCCATTGTCTTTTACCATGTTTGTCCTTTAAGAATAAATATCTTATTTTGATTAAACAGTGTTTAATAATACAAACACTGTGCCAAAACCTGGATTCTTCATTTAGTCCTGAAATCCCAGTCTTGCCTCTCAAGATACTGTTCTGGTCTCAGTTCAGTGCCTGAGAGTGTTGTCTCCTGTTTTCACGTATACTTTAGCCAGCTGATTTGTATGATACCATCACTTCCCTCAGTATGTCACATGATGCTTCAATCTGTCAAGATGAGAGCAATTTTTTCGCTATGGACATTCCTATCACTACCCCACAGAAGCAAGGAACTCAGGTCAGAATCCTCCATTTTTTCATGTGGTTGGAGAGTTGAGATATATAAGCAAATAACTGAAAGGAGGCAATTACTTTGTAGGAAACGGGTGACGAAGATCTGCAGGTTTCCCAAGCAGAGAAGGGAATCCATTTCAAAAGTTACACAATTTCCTTCATTTTGACTGCTCAAAGGAAAAACTGAAAGAGCACTGCGAATTGAGACATTACAAAACAAATAATAGAGCATTAAAAGCTGCAAAAGAATCTGCCTAGGCCACATGTGTTTGCTTCACTGCTTCTGGGAGTAGAAACCTGGTGACTCATGCTACAAAGGGCTAATATGCAATCCCTTGTTGATTCTGAATAAGGAAATGGCAAAGTATATTCTACAGATGTGGAACATAGTAATTTGATTATTATGGTTGCATTATGATTATTATGGTTGATTAGAAGCTGTAGAAACAGCTGGGAAGAGATGGTTGCCACTGTAGATACTTTGTAGTAGTAAAAGGGAAAAAAAAACCTCAAACCCAAGCAAGTTAAAGGTGTTAAATCATTATAAATCAACTTGCTACAGTAAACACAGAATATTTTTCCTTAGTCTTTATTCTATATTAAGCAAAAAATTGTTGGAGGAGAGGAAATAGCAGAAAGAAATGCAGTAATATGACCATGAAAATAAATTACCAGGAGGAGGAAGAAGGTGAGGAGGGCCACGAGACTGAAGGTGGTACCAGAGAGACTAGTGAGAGCTATTCTGAGCAATCCAAACAGAGATTGAATATAAATACTTCCATCTAGTATTGGATCTGTCTCTAGCTTTGAGAATGTCTTCTAGATGTGCAAGTCTTCAGCTATCTATAGACTTTCAATTTATAGACTTCGGGACAGAATCTGCATGTCCTCTTTACCTTGGACTCGTGGTGACTGAGGGAAGAACTGGAGAAAGACCAGGAGAAGATTTGTTGAAACTGTTGTCTGCTTTTTAAATAGGTTGTGAAAATAAGCATTTTTTAAGGCCTGGTGGTATTTTCCAGAAATAGCTTGGTAAACAAAGAATTCTGGTGCTGTAAGGCTGGAAATTCCCTTTTCAAAGAGGAGCATGTGACGATAAAAGTGTGTGGAGACTGTGTGCTCTCTGATCTTCGAATAAAGAGAGAAGGAATCCTTGCTCTTGGAGTGCTATACATACATTTTTCTTTTTGTCTTTAACCCCTTTACTCCCACACCCATCATTGTGGTCCACATGTCAGTCTTTGGTTTATGTCCACTAGTGCCTCCCTCAATGGTATCGCTATTTGTGTTCCCCATTCAGATGCGCCAGGGGCGAGGTAGGCTGGGCGAGGAAGACTCTGACGTAGATATTGAAGGGTTTGATGAGGATGATGATGGGAAACCTAAGACTCCAGCCCCAGTGAGTATATTTACAGAAATCCCAGCCACAGCCTACATGATGACTTGCATACTTGTGTCAGAAGTCTTCATAGTATAAGGGCTGTCTTCTGTGTCTGCCACCCTGAAAGACAGCAGTATTGAGAGCAGTAGCGAGACTTTTAAATGTAGTTTGAAAATATTAGTATTATGAAATGAATGAATACTTCAGAGTGAATAGTGTGCTAAATAATAGGCATGTCCTGGAAATGGCAGCAGTAGTTTATATGTTGTTTGACCTTCACTATCCCTGTATGACCTAGGAAGTTGAAGATGCAGATGGTGACCTTGCTGATGAAGAAGAAGGATCAGCTCAGCAGCCCCAGGCCAGTGTCCTCTATGAAGATCTGCTCATGTCTGATGGAGAGGATGATGATGATGGCAGTGATGAAGAGGGAGATAATCCTTTCTCATGTAGGTGTCTTTTTTTTATAAAAGGTTGAATAGGAACTGGTTGGTTGCAAACCCAGCTAATCTCATGCTTTCATCACAAAAACATGCAGTAGAGAGATTAGAGAATAACTGGGATATGTAGGTATCGCGGTTCAAGCCCAGCCGGAAACGCAGCCGCTCACTCACTCCCCCCCTTCTTCCTCCCCCCACTCCCAGAGGGATGGGGCGGC